TATTGGTCCTCTCAGAAGATTCTGGGTTTTGGCTGCAAAGACTGATAATCGATTATTGCATAAGTGATAATCGATTATTGAGTGCTTCAGAACTTTGGAAGTTCAAAGCTGCAGGGGCTGATAGTCGATTGTCACTAAGGTGATAATCGATTATCACCCAGCTAAAGTCTAGCCAGCTGAAACCCGTTTTGAAAAACCGAGGTCCAAAAACGAAGTGTTCCCAAAAGTAAAAACCAAGTTTGAAAAACATTGTATATGGTATAAAATAGTGAAAACAAGACTTGTTCGGTAAAAACCAAGTCTCCAAGGTCGTACATCACGTGCGTACGGTTTAGACCGTTTTTCACGTGTTAGACCGATTGACCAAGATACAAAAGTGGTTTTTATGAAATAATTATTTGGGAACCTTTTAAATATGCTCAGATATAAAAACGAGGTTTAAAACATTGAAAACCACCGAGTTGGTTCGGGCGCCAAAAACCGAACGCCGAACACCGTACGCCGACTTAGGTGATTTTGGTTCTGAGCAAGGACCAGGGATTTTAACAATAAAAATTTATCAAAAATGTTCATTTTGATGCACAAAAATATTTTATGATTTTGTAAAATTATTTTGACTCTTTGAGAACCGAGACTTGAATTGATTGTCGGTTTTGATCAAAAGACCGACTCGACTAAGTCTTCAATTCTTGATCTTGTCCTTGAGTCTTTTGGGTCTTGTTCCATGCCATTCTTCGCGTCTTGAGTTATTCAACGAAACTCTTTATATCCACGGCGGTTTGGCAATTATCAAAACCTGTCAGAAATGAACACGACTTTAGTTAAACGTGCAAAGTGTGTTCCAACAATATATATATATATATATATATATATATATATATATATATATATATATATATATATCTGGGTGGGTTCTAGTAAGAATGATCCTCTACGAAAGAAATAAGAATGAATGAGATTCATTGATCTCAAACGATCAATGGATGGAAGCCTTCTACAAAACGGATTGCACCATTAGATTTTATAAGGTAAGGAAATCAATTCATTGATTGTAAATTAAAATCAAAGAGTAATAGGGTTAATATTGTAAAATCGTATTGCATTTAAAATGGTCAGGGTTACACGCAACTATCCATTTCCGAAACTAATGCCTTCCATATCATTTGACTTCCACCTACATTCTTTTTTGGATCTGTTGTCACGTTTTTATCATTTTTTAATTTTTTCTCTTTTTTATTTTTTTGCCATTTTTCTTCAATAAAAATTAATATTAAATATTTTTTCCTATTGCACTCTTTATTCCTCATATGCATTATATTAATGCATTTCACACGGTAGAAAAGATTTATTTATTTACTTTGATTTTTTTTCAAATTTATAAATAATACTTTCATGTCATGTTATTTTTATCATTTTTTGGTTAACTGTATTTGGTTATTTTTTGTATTATCACATTTTATTATAAATTTCTCACATTTTAAAGTAAAAACTTAAAAATTTATAAAGACTTTTTAATGTTATTGCACTATGATAGCTGATATATGCACTGTGTCTTGCTTTTATATTTTATTTAATTTTTGTATTAATTTGTGGATTAGTGAATAATGACACCTGAGTTACTTTTTGTGAGGTGAAAAAGCTTAAGAATGTATTGTATTTAGAATAAATATAATACAAATTTGAGAAATAGTTTGCCTATGCGGGATTCAAACCCACAACCGTAGTACGTACTGCTCTACCATTTGAGCTAATAGACACCAATATTTTTTAAAGAGACTCACAACTTGCATCAGAAATTCTCCCCAAGATGCCTCAATTTTGATTTTATATTATCCTTTAGCTTGATTTTGAAAATGTATTTCCCTTTTTATAAATGCATTAACTTGATTCAATAATGCACAATGATAGAAAAAAGCAAAGTAAAAAAAAGCAAAAAAACAAACAAACAATCAATAAAGTACATCCCTATTAAATACCAAATTGTCCAATCAAGATTATCATGGCCAACAATTTCCAAGAATATAACAATATACCCACATTCCACAAATGTTTTACTTTCTTTTTTCTATGCCTTGAAATGTGACTGGATGTAGGGGTTGTGCTCAACGTAAATGCAGTATACAATGGGGTGGAGTGCAGTACTAGTGTTCTACAATGCTATGTATAATAGAAGAAAATCTTAAAATGTCACAGTGGTCCAATGCAGACTAGCACAAAAGAAGACATAAAAACGAGCTTTGAAAAAGGTAGATCATTGTTCTTTTAAAGTCTAAACCAATCTAGACCAGCCCAAAGGGAGACTCAACGGAGGTGTTAAACTTTGAAATTCATTTGAAAACACAAAAAAGAAAGCATCCAATTTTCAAATTACATTGGATCTCTAACTCTAACAAATCTATTAGTCAATGTGCAGCCAAGGATAATAATACTGCATCTGTGTCCCATAATGCAGCACAATGATAAGTCAAGATTTGAAAAAATTAACTCCTACCAAGAATACACTATCAAGATCCATAGTGATGTCTCCATCTCATACTCTGATGCATCACGGAAAAATTTAAATGCATCATCTTTTCTAGAAACTTCGCCCTCACAAATGTGACAAACAAGAACCATTACCTCACAAGTGTACAGAATGCATTGTCATGCATATAAATATACAAATAAGATTGAAAGAACCAAATATAAAAATGGGTATATAAATGTGTCAAACATGGAATTCTCCTAGTTGGGTGGCGGGTGGCAGTAGGCAACCATTTCAATCTCAGAATGCATCATCATGCGTTTAAATGTACAATCGAGAATAAAATCATCAATTATAAAACTTACCGATAAACATATAAGTTCTAATTATGGCAACAAATGGAAATCCCTAGAATATCTGAAAAAAGAATCCATGAATCAGTAAATACCAAAAAAATCTTCAAAACATGTACATCTAATATGAATCCAGGTGAAAAATGGGCATACGCGGCTTATGGATTACACACACATGAATATGCGAAGGAAAAGATTGACTCGGAAATTCAACTGGTAATCGTTTATGAAGAAATTAGCTTAGATAACAAAATTAAAAAAATTAGACTGTGAGTACCTAGAAGAAAACCTGGAAATAGGGTGAGAAAGATAATATGAGAAAGTGGAAAGAATTGAAGATCAGGATCGTTGTTCTCTTCTACTATGAAAATTGGAGCAAAACAAGCAAAAAAACAAGCAAAAACCTTGTGAAATATGGACTCTTACCCCTTGCTGTGAACAGTGTTAGGGAATCTGAATTCTATCGCAATTCAAAGAATTATTCAAACAAAAATAACTTCCCCACAAATTAGACTTCAATAGAGCTTGAATTGAGGTTGATTCAAACCCTCAAAATTGAAGATGAACAGTAATTGCGAGAGGTTAACCTTCGATTCATGCCCAGTCCGACCCCAAGAGCAGCGAATTGAACTCCAAAGAGGAAGCCTATGTTGAAGTCGATTCCAGAGCTCCAAAAATATCGAGAATCGAGATACAAATCAAGAAGGAATATCAAGGTGAAGGTCGGGTATGAATAGCGTTACAAGAACACTTCCTAGACGCAACTCATAGAGAGAGAAACTACTGCTTCTATTATGATGAAGAGATCTAAACATTGAAGGTGGCATGTGTAGATAAGGAGAACGGTGAACTAAATCAGAGAAGATGGTGCCCTGATTTCGGGGAGAAGAAGAGCAGTTGATAAGGCAAGAACGAAATTGGGATGAAAAATCAAAAATGCCCTTGCGATAGGTGGGAAGGAGAATTGCTGGAGATCAAGATCCGAGGGTTATTATTTATTCTTATTTCTTTCATTAGATTTCATTCTTATTTGAACCAAACTATATATATATATATATATATATATATATATGTATATATATATATTTTATTTTTTTTGATATATCATAAAAGAAATGAAAGGGTTTAGAGAGAAGGGCGCCGTCTTCAAGCGATTCTCTATCCCTCGATGGAATCGTCCCAAGGATTTTGTTCATAGAGATGGGTTCACCGATTACCGGGAGTGGGGAAGAATTCGGGATATATCTTGGTCCTCAGGACGCTGGCAAGGGAAGAGAATCCAGAGATGGAACGACACTCCCAAAATCTCAAGCCAAGCGAGTGAAAGTCAGAATCGGTTTCATTCCTTCCGCATACAATCCAAGGTTTTAGCCTATTTCACTCATGCTATAATCAGAATTTCTGTATTACGGAAATTGGGAGGAATTATGACATTTGGTTTGATTTACAAGGGTTGAAATGGATTCTTGAGCTATTCCCCAAATTAAACCAAAGAAACCCTTGGGCTATCACGCGATTTGAAACGCATCGAAAACTTTCAATTTCATATGGGTCTAATAGGTGGGGGAATTTTATCAGAGTTCTTGAGTCTAGGCTTGAAGGGAACACCTCTATTTTTGTTCCAGTTGATAGAGGAGGTTCGAAATGCTTCTTTAATGCTGTTGATGTCTTCATTGGTAAGACAAAGAACCCNTGTATTACGGAAATTGGGAGGAATTATGACATTTGGTTTGATTTACAAGGGTTGAAATGGATTCTTGAGCTATTCCCCAAATTAAACCAAAGAAACCCTTGGGCTATCACGCGATTTGAAACGCATCGAAAACTTTCAATTTCATATGGGTCTAATAGGTGGGGGAATTTTATCAGAGTTCTTGAGTCTAGGCTTGAAGGGAACACCTCTATTTTTGTTCCAGTTGATAGAGGAGGTTCGAAATGCTTCTTTAATGCTGTTGATGTCTTCATTGGTAAGACAAAGAACCCCAATATTGAAAAAACTCTCCCTGCTACTCAGAAGTTTACAATGGTACATGAGGCTCATGCACCTGGCTCCTCTAGCAGACATGGTAGCTCTGGTGGTATGACACTTGGAGGGCCTCCAACAGATGGATTTGTGGCGAACAAAACTTCTGATGGAACTCATCCTCCTAAGGTTCCACTTCCAGAGTTCTCTCCCATAGATAAAGCTCCTGCTATAATATTGGGAGGAGGAAATGAAATATCAACGGATTCGCAACCCACACTAGAGATTGGACAGGTTGATGATGGGATACTGACAGAAGCTCTGCAACCTGGAGTCTCGGGTGCAAGAAACCAACTTCAGCCTGGCACGCCTGGTGAGTTGGAACCAGAAGATGAGTCTATTAAGCCATGTCTCCTAAACCGTGAAGAGCAACTGATTATCGACGGTCTGTTTAAGCACGCTCCGGAAATGCAAGTTTTAAGTTTGGATATTCCTATTCAATCTGAGCTTAAGCTAATGATGATCGATGCAAATGTGGAGGAATCAGCAAGAGGAGATCTCCAAAAAGAGTTTGAGATTCTTAAGCCGATTTTTGAGCAACATATTAGTGATGACTTTGAGCAATCTCTTTGTATAATTAAGGAAGCGTTGCGCTCGCCTTTCGTCATAGAAAAGATTCAGAAGGGTCTAGTGAAAACACTCCAGGGTAAGGCAATAAAAGCTACAAGGGACGCTATGAAGAGCGCACAATGCATTAGGGCAATCAAGCTGAAAGGTACGAGACATCCGGTCCTCCTATCTTGTGCCAACATTGATGAACCTATCATTACGTCCTTGTGTGAACACCTCATCGATTATGAATGACTGTGAGGACAACTAGGGATTCTTTATCTATGGTTTGTTGCTTGTTGATGATGGACTACTTGAGACAATATATTCTTATATATTCTATGGTTTCCTCTTGTTAACTGTGGAAAGGATTTGAAACGGCATCAAGGTCTTTACACGTTAAGGGTTTCCTTGTTTTAGGGAATTTCTTTAAGGTTTTTGGGGCTGCAACTCTCTAATAGCTACTGGATATTGCTGTACTTGGAAGTATTACAGACAGTCTGTAACATCTCAGGAAAACAACACACCATAAACAATTTGACTGAATGAATGGGTCAATGGGGACGTCTATTGGACTCAAGGAAATATGCAGATCTGTCAAGGATAACAGAGGGGCCAACTTTGGGCGAGAATTAGGCTTTGAAGTTGGAGGCTAGGCTATAATTTGAGCTTACCTTGAACATGGCTTGCAAGAAAAGGGTAGCACATTCATTTCATGAAATGATGCTTGTCAACTTTGAAACCTTTCTCGTTGGATTACTATTGCATTTTAGTGTTTGGCCTCTTCTGTTTTGGCTTTGGGATCCTCTGTCCTGTTATTTGCTTTTATTTTTGTTTGGTCCTTTGTTGGGGCTGGGCCACCCCTCAGCTTTGTTGTACCTTTAATATAATAATATATATATATATATATTATTATATATATATATATATGTATATGTATATGTGTGTATATATATATATATATATATATATATATATATATATATATATATATGGGATTGACTCCAGTGAGATGACACCTGATGGTGAAATGACATGCTTCGGTCAGATAACATAACATACAACACTGCCAATGGAAAGCTCACCAACTGCCAATGCAAAGCTCACCAACTGTCAATGCAAAGCTCACCACTTTTTTTAAATAAAAAAAGTTAAAAAAATAGCACCACCACTCAACCACCAGTCAACCACCGCTCAACCACCGGTCCACGGCAACAGTGGGAGTCTTCGGTGGTGGCTATTGGTCATGCGCAGTCAAAGTGTAAAGCTCACCAACTGTCAATGCAAAGCTCACCAACTGTCAATGGAAAGCTCACCAAGGAACAATGCAAAGCTCACCACTTTTTTTAAAAAAAAATAAAATTGCACCACCACTCAACCACCGGTCCACGGCGGTAGTCTGCAGCGGTTGGAAGTCAGCACCACCACCTTTTGTTTTTTTATGAAATCATTTTAATTTTTAAAGTATGGTGAGCTTTGTGCACATATTCGGTGAGCTTTGCAATGAGAGTGAGTGAGCTTTGTTGTTGGGCTTTGTAAGCATTTAACCATCAAGTTTGAAAAAAAAGTAAAGTTTTGGGAAATCATGGTGAGCTTTGCAGTGGACAGTGGTGAGTTTTACAGTGATCAGTAGTGAGCTTTGCAGTGATTAGTGGTGAACTCCAGCGTCATCTCACTGAAACATGTCATCTTACCACAAGGTGTCATCTCACCGGAGTCTATATATATATATATATATATATATATATATATATATATATATATATATATACTTTGGTTCAAATAAGAATGAAATCTAATGAAAGAAATAAGAATAAATTTTAACCATTAGAACTAAAGAGATTAATGCCATCTCCCCAAGGTCATATTTGGGTTTTCAAAGTAACCCCTTTCTCTCTCCATCATCTATTCTCATCGTATCCAAAATTGTAGCGCACGATTCACTCCATCACTCATCATCTTCTATTATCTTATCACCAATTGAATCTCAAAAGGGAATGGAAGCTAAAGGTTCTATCACTAGGTGCGGAGGCTAGAACCTTTTCTCAAAGTACTGCTCACAGTCTTTTCTAGTCCTTTGCCTCATTGATTTACTGGAGTTTTGGTGCAATTCTTGGAGCATTTGGATCGTATTCACCAAAGGATTCCAATTTAATGCTTAATTTTGCTGAGTTGAGGCTCGATATAGCAGAATCAATTTGATTGAGGTTAACTCTTCTTCTTTTTTCTTAAACGATTTACAACAATTTATTTTTGTAAATTTTTACTTAATTTGATTTTGATTCTTGATTAAATTCTTTTCATATTGTTTTCAAAACTTTCATTTTTCTCCTACGTTAACATATTAGTTGAATATAGCAGGTAGTTCTTCAACTTCTTTATTATATACTTTCATTATTTTCTGGTGTGGTTTACTTTATTCATGAGATGTCATTTTAATAGTCTAATAATGCACTTCATATTTACGATACTGCACTCCTATAGGAACTCTATATTCACTTTGGGTTAACTCTGTCCACAATTCACTTTTTACTCTTTTATTTTTACTTATGTTTGAAAATTCATTTAAATGAATGTCCCAATGCATTTCAACCATTACGATTGAATTTGGGGATTTTTTTTTGTCTTGGTCATGTTTTTGTTAAGTCTCATGATTTTGCTCATATTCTTGGATTATATTTCGTGGTTCTTTATCATTTGATTTAATCATTTCATTATTATCTGGTCTGGACAGTTTCATTCATGAGATATAGAGTATCATTTTTATATCCATGCAATGCATTTTGTGGTGTTCATACTGCACATATCTTTCAAATGTTTTTTTTCATGTGATGTCATTATTGTTATACCAAGAGAGGTTTCCTTATTAGAAGTGGAGAGTTAAGAATACCATGTGAAGAAGCCTCGTTGAGTCTAGTGGATAAATTCTGAATGCGTCCAACGGTGTTTGTTGCCTGGAACTTCTTTTTCAAACAAACACTAATTTAGATTATACCTGTATCCAATAATCTATATTTGTTGCAGGTTTGCAATTGAAAACTCACTAATCAATAGAACAATACATATTGCTGCTAAAAAAAGCATTTTCACTCCTTTGTAGTGTTCTTTTGAATTTCAGTACTACATGGATCACCAACCTAAATAAGTTTGTAAGGCATCTAGAAAATACTTGCAATATATGCACACACAACTACCTTGGTTCATTTATATTATGAGTTCTTGCTTCACTACTTGAACAAAAAACCACAAGTAGTTTAGAATGGTGTTAGTACATAGTGGATATTTTTTGGATATTGGAAGCATAATTATTTCAGATTTCTTGTGCATTTTTTAATTTGCATATGTAGTGCATTATCAAAATCAAGATGATACATTATCAGAATCAAGATAATGCATTTAGACAATTCATCCTCTACGTTAAGGCCAACAATTATGCATTCTGTTATTGTACATTCTAAGAACTAAAGTTCATGCATTGATGGTGAAATTTCATCACAAAAAGATGATGTAGTATATTCTAGATAGTGAATTTTCTCTAAATGATGATGCATTTAAAATATTTTATGATACATTTGAATATGGATTATCTAGATTACAATTTTGAAAGATTAAAAATGCATATTTAAAAGGTCCAAATAAAAGATGCGAGTCTTTGAAAAAGTAAATTATTGCCTATTAGCTCAAATGGTAGAGCAGTATGTGCTACAGATGTGGGTTCGAATCCTGCATAGGCAAATTATTTTTCAAATATGTATTACAAATGTTCTTAATACAATTCATTTTCAGTATTTGTCATCGCATACAATGTCACTCTGAAGTCATTATTCATCAATTCAAAATTAATATAATAAAATTAGAATAAAATCTAAAGAACAAATCATAGTGCATATATCTTCAATCACTGTGCATTCACCTTACACATTTAACTATGGATATCACAGTACATCTCATTGAAATAAATTCAAAAAAATGAGATACTTTTGGAATCAATTAATTTTGAAAATACTATGATATTGAGGTTTTACGATTAATCAATCTAATTAAGATGATAAGACCACTTAATTGAAAAAAATACTTCCTCCGTCTCAGAGTATTTGTCCACTTTCATTTTTACACACCATCCAATACACTTCTTTAATCGATTTTATCTTGTAATTTGTATATTAAAAAATTATAGAAATTATATATTAATAATTTATATGTTAAGACAAATCAAACAAGATCACACATGACTATATTTAGGCTTACACATTGAAAGAATTTGATGAGTCAAAGTGCTTAGATGAACAGTTCCAAAAGTCAAAAGTGGACAAATATAGTGGGACGGAGGTAGTAATACGGAGCAGTGGCCTAAAATTGTGGAAGATGTGGCCTCTTTTCCTAACTTGCCCTTTTATATAACATTTATCAATCAAATAGCACACCACATTAAATGTAGCCAATCTCAATTACTTTTTTTCACCAATAAGAGCCGTTAGATTTTATAGATCAATGCATATCCTATATTCTTATTTCTTTCGCCAAACATTACTCTTACAGGAACCAACCCCTATATATATATATGATAGGATAATGATACGATATATTCCCAGAGTAACATTTTCTATTAAACTTTTATAATATACATTTGACAATTTTTATTTAAATTTAAACATTTCAAAAACATTTGAGGTATACAACATTTTATTGTGATTTTATAAAGATTACCAAAGATATTTACAATTAATACTTTCAACCCTACTTTTACTCTCACTCGCAAAACATAAACTACTAGTGATAACTCCGTGTTTCGCACGGGCTCGTATATATTTCAAATTTTCATATTCTATAAATATATTTATATTTATTGTTGTTTTCTAATAATTTTTTAATAGTTTAGTTTTCGGTTATATTCTTTTAGATATTTTTGTTAATATTCATTTAATATTTTAAATTTAGATCACATTATTTAAATACTCCGTAACATAATAGGATAAAAAATGTTGAAATAAATAATGTGGATAATTCATAGTAGTATTTTTACAAAATAATAAAATAAAATAAATGGTGGATAGTTTAAAAAAATAATAAACAATTATAATGGTATTTTTTATTTAATAAAATTTAAATTACTTCTTTTAAAATAACAACATACTTATGAATAGTTTAGAACTAAAATATATATTTTTGAAATAGTTAGAAAGTGGAGGATTTTATAAAACAAATAATAAAATAATGGTTACTCCGCATTTAAAATTAAAATGTGAAGGATATAGAAAATATGTTTATAAAATTTTAATAATTTTAACGTTCAAGTATTATGTGGATATGACTTTTCATTTTATTCATTCTCTTAAGAGATGACATGATGTGGCAATCTATTTGGCAATAAACTAATGACGTGGCATAACACATGTCGTAACCACAATTAATCTGCTCAACTTTATATATATATATATATATATATATATATATATATATAACAAAACCACGTGGTGGACGGTATCCTCAACTCTTCAATGATCAATGACTCTCGTAATTTCAAGGACTAAATTCTTTTAAGGGGTAGAGAAATGTAACACTCCGAAACTCTGCATATCAGAATTAATTAATTAAAAAATAGTTAATTAATTACGAAGACAAATTTGGTGAAATTATGAAATATTCTTTGTTTGTTATAAGGTTTATACCGGTGTGTAGGATTCGACAGAACGAATCGAACGGTGCAACCAGATTTGGAGTTTGAGCCCGTGGGCTCGGAAAGTGCGTTTTGAGACATGTATGTTTAGTTAATACGGAACCCAAAACTTCGAACATAAAAATAACACCATGCACGCCTAAAATCCCTACACGCCTCCCATAATATTTACATAAACCCTTCTCTCTCTCTCTCTCGTGTCTCCTTTGTCGATTGAAGAACATTAGCAGAACCGAGAAGGAACGCAGCGGAAAAAGAAGGAGAAAAGAACAAGAAAAAAAGGAAGAAGAAGGAAGAGGAATTTGTTGTTCGATTCTCCGTCGCGAACACTATTCCGTAATCCTTAATCGTTGATTTTGAGGTGAGTACGTGGACATCTAACGTATGGTTAGAGTTGTAGGTTTGAATCTTACGTTCGTAGAATCGTTACGCTTGATCTACTTGAACATACGTGAATTATGCTTTGTTTATGTTGTTAATGGTTTGAGAAGCATGAATAAGCTTAGAATTTCTTAGGGGGATGTTAGGGAATGTTTGAGCATTGATTTATGACCTGTCGATGCTTGTTCTTTCCAGTTAAATGTTGGTTTAGTTGGTAAAAACGGAGCTGGTGCATGCATGTTTAGGTTTCGCCACGATAGGCATATGTGGGTACCGGTAGCATGGTACCTAGCTACCGCCACCCGCCTCGTTCTTCCCTCGCTCTAGCAGTACCTGTCACCAAACGGCACCTAGGTACCAGGCGGACGGTAGGCCCTACCGCTGGGTCGGTAGAGGCTACCATGACATGGCTACTGAATAAGAGTTACAGCTACACGGTCAGTACCCACGTACCGTGGGACGGTACTCTGGTATCGTGGGGTCGGTACCCCCTACCATTAAGAGTACCGTGAGGTACTTAAACCGGTCCGAATCTTCTATTTGCGTCAAAGATCGATTCTGAGACTTCGTATGTTGTATGGCGGTAAACATGGGAGTGAACACCAGTGTTAGGCCGCTGTTTGAGCATGTTGAATGTGGTGATGAACATTATATCATGAATAATTAATGAATAAAGGATGAATCACCTAGAATGAACTCTAGGGATTGGCCTGGATGAATTAGTGGCAAGGTATGCAATAAGGTAGTAGTTAGAGTCATGCGGTACCTGCTGGGTCCAATGACTGTTTGGGTAAAAATGTGTACATGGGCATCTAAGAATTGTCGTTCTGAAGGGGACATGGATCTCACCCACCCAACGAGGAACTCTTGAGTTGGTTTGAGCTTGACCTTCATTCCGAAGGGGAAGGTAATGACTGCCATAGGCAAGTCGACTTCAGTTAAGCTTTAACCTAGCATAGGTTAAGAGCCAAGTACGAAAAGAAAGTAAAGAAAATTAAAGAGGAAAGAACCTGATGTTATATTGTTGTTATTTGTATCTCATGAATGATTATGATATAGATTTTGCATGATATATCATGTATACTGTTATGATTGTTAGCTTCAATGCTGAGCGTGTAGCGTTTGTTCCTTTGCTACACGTAGGTAATCCAGGGAATGGGGAACTTGGAGCCAATCTCAGAGGGCAATGAGGATTTTGAGATGTGCGTGGCAGTATTCGACGACTTTGAATTACTACTTACTATTTAAATTAACTTATTACTATTTCAGGCATGATTCCCAAGTTGTGTTTTGAATTATGAATTAAGCTTTTGCGATTATTTTGAATATTACTCCAATGATTGGTAAACTATGTTTTGAAATGTTTTTTTGAATTGTTTTGAAAAGTTAAGTTGTGTTTGGATACCAATTTAGTAGCAATCCGGTTCACTAGTCCAAGTATCCGGGTTATGCGAGTTGGAGTGTTACATCAACCTTCACAAAAATTGGATTGTACTTTGTCGCCAAACCAACCTTTGCAACATCTAAAGTTTTTTTTATCCCTAAAAGAAAGTGCAACAAGAATGTAGTATTTTTGAGTCGGTACTCCCCCCCCTTTTGTATATGTGGCTATCTTTCCTTCTCAACCTTGCGGCTAAATGATAAATGTGATTATTTTTGAAAGAGTGCAAAAAAATAAAATTATTTGAGAAAATTTTCCTAAAGTTTAGGATCTACTCAGTACTATTTTTCTATCTCTATCCCAATAACCAATGTTATGTGATGAACCATATCCGGTGTCACCATTGTAATAGAGAATGTATATGGTACAACTAGATGTACGGTACATCCTAGTAATACTCATTCTGAAGTAAAGTTATACTAATTTTTGCAAAAATATAATTAGCGTGATATTCATTCTAAAATAATGCATCAGTCATTTTTACACATTGATTTAATATAATTATAATATTCTTGTACAAATAATTTAGTGTTCATTCTGCAACAAAACCATATTCATTTTTAAATAATTTAATGCTAATTTTTATATATAATAAAATTCATACCATAAATAATTTTTTCGTTGTATTTAAAATTAGATACAACAGATATATATTTAGTATAATACGAAGTATATTTTCCCATTGTAACATGGTGACTTTGATTTTGATTGAGCAAAAAGTACTCCGTAAGGTTAGCACAAATTCAAATTATTTTACTTGTTGATTTTAGAGAGATTGAAGATGACTTCAATTTCTTCGTCGAGACCTCTGCAAATTCAATTCCTCAGCAGAATCGGTCTTTCTCCCCGTTCACTTCAACCGTCTTCATATCTTGCCATTCACCGTTGGAACAACTCTCAGTTCCGTCGGTGCACGATTGTAGTGAAGACCAGCTCTGTAGATGGATGGGCTGGGAATGACCGGGGCCTTCACAAACTGGAGCTTCTTAGGAAACCGGTGACTGCGCCGTCCGTGGAGTATTCCGGTGGGGGAGAGTCAACAGGAAAGCCCCATTACGATGAGAGTGAGAAGATTGACAAAGAGGATCGGTTTGATTGGGAGCACAAAATTTTGGGGGAAACCTACCCGCTTGTAGGGCTTGCCAGAGTGATTCTTCATTCTGGAAGGTAAAGTGCGGATTTGTTTCATTTTACAAGTATTTTAGTCTAAATTTTTTTTGGCATTACATGAAACCTCAGCACATGGTCGATTCTTCTATTCGAATATGAGTTATTCCTTAATGCCATTATCTAACAGCCAATTGCATTGCTTAAATGTATTTGATTTGTTATTTGTTACGGAGTAAGTAATAGCTTAGGTTGAAGACATTAAAATATGAAACTGGCCAGCCAGATAAGTAAAAGACCTTTGTTATTCCTGTGACTATGTCATCCTTTAAATTCAACTCCCTCCGTTTGCATTGGATGTTGGCGATTCCCAGCGAGGCGAGGGGAGTACATACTCGCAATACAATTTGTTGGGTTCTGATTAGTGACTTAAAAGGAAAGTCTGTTTTCTAAGTTCTTTATCAACTAAATGCACTTTGTAAAGTCTTTAACCTGATACGAGTATGTTACTAGAGGACACTATTTATGTAACCAGATTTTGATAATTTGAGTATATAACTATAATTGCTATCTCTTCGTCAAAGGTTTATCTTTTTTCCACAATGGTCATGCAAAGCTCTTTATTTGTTCATGCGGTGGCCAAGTAATTTTGACCTTTTGCATTTCTATGAAGTAAACTTTTAGTCTTATCACTCTTTAAGAAACATAAATTCAGTTCTCAAGAAGTCATGCTTTTTTCTCACACCTATCTTGTAAACCTGTACCTCAAACTCGTGCAAAGTTGATGAAGCTTGTTTGTCTAAGTATCTAAGTCATGATTAAATGGATCAGGATTTATGTGTCCCCATACTTTGCTTCTCAACTGAAAGCATAGTTGGTTTTGCATTGTCAGTGCTTTCATTTTATTGACATGTTACTTATGATACAAATTGATGGCACTAGAGTGGTCCTACATGTTTTTTTTTGCATTCAATGCATATTTAGTGAGGTCATTAATGATGGGCTTACTTTGCAGATATGAAGTTGGTGATCCCCTAAGTTTTGAACATGAAAAAATTATGTTGGAGAAGTTTCTTCCATACCATCCAGAGTGTAAAAAGAAGATTGGGTGCGGTGTCAAGTACATTACTGTGTGTTACTTAACTCTTCATTTCATCATTTTTTTGGTGCATATATCTCTCTTTAACTTGCAATTGATTCTTATCCAAAACACTACTTGCATTTATGCATAAAAGTTCTTGTCCAAGAATAACCAAACCAAACATAACCAGTATATCCCACTGAGAAGTAGGGTCTGAAAATTTCATGCCCATGAAGTTTTTGAAAGATTTCTAGATTATTATTATCCACATAGAAGTGTAACTGTCTGCACTACAAGTTTGTAGTTACTTTCAGAACATTTGAAAGTATAATGCAACAATTATGATACACATCAAAAGGGAGACTAATGGAAGTCAGAAGGGCAGGAACTTCTCTTTCACGTTTCTCCCCAATTATATGTGATTTATTTTGTAGATTTCATCTGTTTAGTACTCCGTATTGGCTAGTCGTAACAGACCTCTCAAAGACTAAACATTGTGTATAAGCTAACGTACAAGGATAATAAGAGTCTAGTCATTTGATTGTCTACACCAAGTAAATGCGGAGTAATACTCCCTCCGTTCGAAAATAATTGTGATGGTCAAAATTTTACCCTATTTACACACCCTCATCTAACCATCTTTTGTGATCTATACGTAAGCATAAATATAGTTATGTGGCATATTTTTATATTTTTTATCAATAAGAACATTTATAATATCAATTTTATATAATTTTTACTGAGAGACTATCTCAAAGACATTCAACAAGTAAATGATATATTGATATGGAATAATTGAAAATAGAAATTTCTAAAAGAGAAAGCAACTCAAGGGATCTAATTAGCAGAGATTTTATAAGTGAGAAAATGTTTAGCAGCCTTTTTGCATAATTAATCCCTCATTCAGGAAGACGATCATTTCATATTGTGATCATCTGCCAAAGGCTGAGGCCGGAGGGAAAGGCATTATTCTTGATGGAAAAGCTCATTCCACAATGATATGTCCCTCTCCTAACACTTATTTAAAATCTGTAGCTTATGTTTTTTCTCTTTTTGTACCTATTTTCTCTATAAATTTGAAGACACATGGAAGACACAAAACAAAGCTAGTTAATCTTTGACCTGAAACAATCGGTTGGTCCCTAATCGGTTTGTGAAGCCAACTGACTTTTTCCCTTATCAAAACAAAACTGTTTTAACTTTTAAGCTTTTGTTAAAACAAACAATAACGCCTAATCTCTTCCTCCCATTGTGCTGAAACTTTGAACTCTCGACTCCCTTCTTTTTCAAATTTTCATATCTCAATTTTTGGCATTTGACCATAACCCCTGATGGCCTCACAGCAAATATGTTGTTTGCGTGAGTTCTGTCACATCCATATCATTTATTTGAATACTACTCCCTCCGTCATGTAAAAAGATTCCACTTTGATCAGTATACAACTTTTAAATTTTAGTAAGCACAACTCTTAGAAAGCACTAAACATATCTGTTAAACCAGGTGAGAAATATATTACTTTATGGGAGAAAAACAAGTTGAGAAAGTATAATTTATTCTTTTTTCAAATGCAAATTTTATCTAGCAAGGAATTTCCCCATCAAAAATGAAAAGGATGTACTAGCACCTTATTTTCTCCCAAATACTTTTTCTATCTTTTTCAGCATAATATGCTAGCAAACATGTGTTGCATTACTTGCCTATATAACTGCTAAACTGTATTAGAACCCCTATTGAATGAGAATGGAAGTTTTGTGTGGGTCATTCTATGAATTAGATTTTTCATTATATACTTGTTTCACAAGAACTACGGAGTATTAAATAGCTCTAATTCCTCTAAATATGAAAAGTGCTAAAGTTTTATTTCATTCTCATTGACAGATAGGGTACCACCCAACATATGGAAGATCACGATGTTTGTTCATAGTGCGTGAAGATGGAGAACATGTTGACTTCTCTTATTGGAAGTGCTTAAAGGGTTACATCAAGAAAAACTACCCACATTGTGCAGAGAGCTTTATACTTCGGCATTTTGAGAAGTTGAAACGTGAGTGAAGGTATATTGTTTTGATTTGTAGCTATCCCTACTTTGATCAATCTATGGAAAGAAATCCCGGCACCAATTGATTTGAGTAATCACCACATTACGATGTATTATGTAAATGTGGTAATTAATACCGGGTGTAAAAAACTATCAGAATCTACATTCTGCAAATGTGTAGTGGGTATTTGATATCTTAAAACTTTCTGGTTGTTCTCTCAAACGAGTGGTGCTGACAAAAAATCATCAATAAACTTCTTTGTTTACTATACCAAATATCACATCAAAAATTGAAAAATAATAGGTATATAAGGTTTTAAGTTGAACTAAGTAATCGATTGGATTCAGTCATTTAATGTGGTTCAACTTAAGTGTCTTTTGGGTTTCCCATCCTTGATAATAATGGTACCGGAGATAGTTTTAGCGAGCTCATTTGTTGATGTGTTCGTCTAGAAGTTTATTTCTAGCGGCCCATTGGTCTTTGACATAGTTGTCCGTATAAGTCGATTTTTTGTCTAGAAGTAGGGTTGTAAATGAATCAAATATTTTTTGTTCGATTCGTGATCCGTATTCGTTTAAGGTGATTCGTATTCGATTTTTTCAAATTCGAATACGAATACGAATCTGAATAAGTATTCGAATCCTTATCGACTACGAATATGAGTCTAAGAATATTCGATTCGTGAGTTTGACAAATATATTCGCAACATAAATCTAATTTTATATATATATATATATATATATATATATATATATATATATATATATATATATATATATATATATATCAAATGGTTATAAAATATTTTAAAATCTAAATGAACAAAATATTTTTAAACAAACCAGATATATTTAAACGAATCGAATATTTAAACGAACCGAATATTTTAATATATTAAACGAAGCAAATACGAATCTTAAAAAATATTCAAACTGAATTCGAATTCGAATTCGAATATCACTCCATCTTAACGAATATGAATATTTTTCATGAATATTCGATTCGATTTGGTTCATTTACAACCCTATTTGGAAGCACATATCCAGCGACTTATGTTTCTCTAGGTATTGGCACTTTTGGTTCTTTCATTTCTTGGGGAAGTGGAGTTCATTTGCACGTGGTCAAACCAGTTAGTTTCAAAATAACCTAGTAGTCCACTTGAAGGGAGTGTCAAAATATCACATATCAGAAATTGAGGAAAAAAGTAATTGGTATATAACCTCCTATGTTGAATTAAGTAATTAATTGAATTTAATCTTTTATTGTGGTTTAATTCAAATGTCTTATAACTTATTCACATTACTCTTTCCCTATCCTAAATTCTATCACTTTTTTGCTTCCATGTTACCTAATTATGTTTTGTCTCTTTAGAGCAACTCCAACGCCTCTTCTATGAGTTTTATTATAGAAGATTTAACTGACATAATTCATAAATACATCTTTTATAAAACAGATGGTGAGCTAAATAGCATATGACTATTCATGAGCTAAATCTAAAAAAATACTCCGTAATAAAATATTAAGTTACCTGAGGAGAGAAGAAACTAAACAAAAAGAAAAGAAATAATTGGAGGAGATCTGACTCTTTACAATATAAAGTAAAGATATAAATATTACATGGTTTTGAGTTGCTTAGAAAAAGTGAACTAAAAAACACTTTAAACATCTAATAGTATTTAGGAAAATGCTAGGGGTACACCAAAAGTGTACCCCAATTCCCAAACATCCCAAAAAGGCAAGAAAATTTCAAAAAAAGTAAAAAATAAAAAGAAAATAAAATGAATGGTATAGAGGCAAGTGGTGTACATTTGGGGTACACCACCTTTGGTGTACCCCTAGCATATCCCTAGTATATATTACAAATGAATTATAGGAGCTCCAGTTGGAGTTGCTCTTACCTTTAAGAGGAGAGGCAAGTTCTTCCTACGCCTTGTTTGGCAAATGGATTTGGACCATGCTACATTTACATCAAAAAATGTACTTCATTTGTACACCACACTTATGCACAAATATTTTGATGGTTTACACCGATACAAGTGTTAGTGTCTTAACAAAAAGTTACACGGACACAAAGTGTTGGTGTATTAACAAAAATGTTTTGAGGTAGTGGTAGTGTGCTGTGGTGCCCATCCATTAATTCTGGAGTGTAAAGATTCTCTTCCAAACCACAGAATTTGTGACCATCTCCTCCTTGATGATGTTGTTTTAGAGGTGTTATTTGATACCTCTATAATTAAATAACTAAATTCTAGAAATAAATTGTGTTGCATGTTACGCATGATCAAACTTTAATAACTTTATTTGTTTAATCCTTTTTTTTGTTATTCATTTAATGAAATGATATTGTTATGTCACATCTTATTTGTTAAAAACCGCTAATGTACTTCACACCATTTTTAAATAATTTAATTTGAAATAACTTTGTCAAACATCGGAAACAACATCAGAAAACTTTAAATTGGATTGATAGAGTATATTAATAGTCGAAGAATTACATTATAAAATATATTTTTGACACTAAATTTGAGGCGGAAGACATACACCCTCCGTCTCGTTTGAAATAGCCTGGTTTGACTTTTGAGCATTTTTAAAGAAAATAAAAAATAGAGTTGATTTTCTGAAATTGTCAGGGATGACGATGAATAATTTAGGTACTTTACTCATAAAAGTTTACGATAACAAGTAACAGACAACTAATTTTGAGACAGAGAAAAAATGCAACCAGATAATTTAAAATGGGACATATGTATTATTTAAGTTGAAAAATATAGAGGCCCTAAAACATATTTCACACAAGGTCTTTTACAATATTTCTCTTATCAGGGCGGACCACGGGAATATCGTTCAATATGAGTGCTAAGCACCAAACATAGTTCAACATAAGTGCTCGTCACCAAGAATGACACATTGCAAAGGTAAATCTAAGACATAAACTCTACATCGTATATCTAGCAGTGTAAGTGCAAACCATATCAGGTCAAGCTTTTTGAGGAGCAGATGAGTATTTAAGAATGGCTGAAAGTATCCTCTCTTTATCTCGTGTCGGAAAAGCTTCAAGTAGGACTCCATTTTTATACAAGTGAAAAAGGGGCACCGTCTGCATCATATTGGAAAGCTCTCACTTTAGAATCATGAGATAGATGAAAATAATATACAGTATATATGTTTGTATACAGAAGCGCAAAATCAACTACTGACTGACATGATTGTATAGTCTTACCCGTATACGCAGCCGTTCAGCAACCTCAGATTGTTCATCATACTCATCAAGCACCTATGTAATTAAAACAGTTTCTGTTATGATGTTTACAACATTTCATAAGTCTCTTCTATAGATTCCCAAATAACCCTTCCCAACCTTATACTCAATATACACTTGCCTTGACTAGTGGAAATTGTGGAGGGGAGGCAATGTTGCGTAGCAGCATTAGAAGCAGATGGTATACGATGAACGTGAAGAAGACTTGAGTAGATGACATTGCTAACCCTCAGATAGCAGAGGACTGGTTCAAGTTCATCATACCACCAACATTAACCTCCACCTAGGCACTAGGCCTCCAAACATTTTACAACTTGCTATGTCCCATCAAAAGAGTCATGTTTGACCAATGCACAACTTCTATACTGGACTATCTGTTTGTAAGTTGTAACGACTCGCAGTTTGTAGAGGAGCTGTTCTTCATATGGAAGATCAACTATACGAATTGAAGGTAAGGTCTCTACTTTCAATTCTTCACCTTTCAACTCCAATCTCTCCCTTACAGAATCTAAGAGAAATAGGAAAGCAACTATTTTGATTGGCGTAAATCTATTTGAAGGCAATAAATCTATTATCATTTCATATATGGTGATACGGATCGAACTATTTTGGCAGATATCTCACAATTTCGGAAAAAAACAGGACAGAACCACACAATTTTTTCCCCGAAGGCAGAGGTTCTTATAAAATGAAGGCGACCAAGGGAAGCATAATGAAGACTAAGATATGTCCATTCATGGAAGAATACTCACATTGTGTTTCAAGAAAACAACAGGTGATTGTTGATCTGCAGATCCTTTGCATAGCTTTGAGAAACCCTTTTCTATGTACTTGCAGCTGCCACAAGAGGTGCGGTAGAAGTCTACCACAACCAGAGAGCCAGTTTTCTTAGCCTTGTCCATTATCCTCGCGAACTCCTCTTCCCTCTTAAATTCTCTCACGCAATCGACCGGACAACAGTCTTCATCGTCTTCATCCTCAAACAATCCATCAACACTTCCGTTTATTACCGTCTGCATCGACCTAACTCCATCATAGCATCTTATCTCAGCATTTGGAAGTCTACCAAACACACCTCCTGCCTTCATATGACAAGATCTAAATGTGGGCAAGATTGATCCAGCTACAAACCCTAGTTTATCAGCATGAATCAGGATGTTTCTGGCAAAGCCGAAAGGGAAAGGGGCCTTCCAGGCAAGAACACCATGGCTTTGCATGAGTGCAACAAAGGAATGCAGATTTTGCGCAATAATCAACCTTTACCATCCGTAGATTATTCCATGATTAAACCCTTGTGGGTGAAGTGAATCTGATTTCCCCTCTCACTTGTCTGATCGCCGATTTTCCTCAGTCAAATTTATCATGCCATCCAATGGGCAGCAACAATAATGGCCACACCCATTGAATTGAAACATGAAAATTTTAATATTCCGTATTTCAGGAACTAATTATCGAATTTTCAAGACAGATCTACTGCTTGTAAGTTGTAACTTTCCCCCATTGAATCTCTGCTTCATCCTAGAGAGTCCTTCAACTTTTCTTACATGACTTTAATATTGTGATTTCTTATTTTCTTACATTTTTTATGAGTAAATTCCATGTATGCTCAAAAATCATATCTACTTTTTCATATTTACTCCCCGGTTATAAATTATTTCAAAAATAGTACTTGGTCTGTCCCTGAGTATTTGTCCACTTTTGACTTTTGGAACTGTTCATCTAAACACTTTGACTCATCAAATTCTTTCAATGTGTAAGCCAAAAAATAGTCATGTGTGATCTTGTTTGATTCGTCTTAACATATAGATTATTAATATATAATTTTTATAATTTTTTAATATACAAATTACAAGATAAAATGGATTAAAGAAGTGCATTGAATGGTGTACAAAAATAAAAGTGGACAAACACTCAGGGACGGATGGAGTATTCAATTTTTGAAAAATTATTCCACAAATAGTCACTTTTACCAAATACGACAATATATTTTGAATAATTGTTCAAAATGATCTTTTCTAATAAAGTTTTTTTCCCAAAGTAATTCTCAATAAGCAAAAGTTACTAACGCGGTCCTTTATTGTTTCTTAAATAGTCTTTTATCAAAAATGCTAATTAAATGATAGTTAAATGGAGGATACTTTGATGCTCTTTAAAAAAATCATTTTGAAGACTTATTCATATTTTAGATAATAAAGAGAATCAAAATATCCTTTATTTAACTCTCATTGAATAGGTATTTTTGATCAAGGACTAAGGGTCCGTTCCGTAGGACTTATTTTTTCTACTTATTACTTATTCTTATTAAAATCAGATCAGATCAGATCAGATCCAATCAGATCAGATCAGACTCAATCAGATCAGATCAGACTCAATCAGATCAGAACAGATCCAATCATATCAGATCAGATCCAATCATATCAGATCAGATCCAATCAGATCAGATCAGATCCAATCAGATCAGACCAGATCCAATCAGATCAGATCATACCAGATCAAATCCAATAATATCAAATCAAGAAAAATATAAAAGATAATATTTATATTTTTCAAGGATTAAATAATAATTATGATTATTTGATTAAATCACATTACTTTAATTAAAACTACACACACCTAAATCTTAATTAATATTATAATTTTAAATATTATTGTTGTATTATTATTATTATTATTCTTATAATTGTTTAGCTTGTAGGATAGAAATGATGCATGGAAGCAATGTTAAAGCTTAAAAAGTTTTATTTTTCATACTTTAAAAAAAGTTATTTTAAAATACTTGTTTATAAAATAAGTATACAAAGCTTAGTTTTCAAAACTATAAATATTTTATACTTAAAAAGACTTACTTTTAAACTTTAAGATGGTATAATATACTCAAGGGTGAGTTTATGACAAAATTGATAGAAGTGAAAATGATATTAGTGTTTAAAATTTTATATGATCTTTAATTTATAACATGAAATATATTATTATGTAATATGTATATAGAATGTGATAATTTTGTAGAATAGCATCAATATTTTCTAATATTTTTTTATTTTAATACCGATTATTTAGTTTTCACAAAAATTAAAAAAGTTGTGATATTGAAAAGATGTTTAATATTTTTTAAAAAAAGTTTAAACATATTAATGATTAGTTGATTTTTTTATTTTACTTTTTTTATGTATATATGAATTGTAATACTTTAAAACTATTAAATTTTGTAATAATTTTAAGTTTAATTTAAATCAAATTTAAATTCATTTACACCGGATCTAATCAGATCAGATCAGATTCAATCAGATCAGATCAGATCCAATCAGATCAAATCATATTCAATCAGATCAGATCAGACCCAATCAGATCAGATCAGATCCAATCAGATCAAATCAGATCTAATCAGATCTGATCTGATTCAATCAGATCAGATCAGACTCAATTAGATCAGATCAGATCAGAACTTCAAAAATTCAGATCAGATTCAATCAGATCAGGTGTACGGAACAGAGCCTAAATGACCATGTTAGTAAATTTTTCTTATTGAGAATTGCTTTGGAAAAAAACCTTACTAGAAATGACCAGTTTGAGAATTTACTCAAAATATTTTGTCATATTTGAAAAAATGACAAGTTGTGGAATAGTTTTCAAATATTGAGAACTATTTATGGAATATCTTATAATTGAGGATTAGATATGGAAAATTACATAGAATTGTGGACCAAAAATGGAATTTGCTCTTTTTTCTTTTTAAAAATGACGTACTGAACCGAATATTATACTCCCTCCGTCCCACTATGATTTCAATTTTATTTTCTCTCCCTTCTCGATAATTTTAAGTAATTTTTTTGTTTTTAGTTTAATTATTTTTATTATTTAAATAAATTTGAAAAAAATAATATTAAACATTGAAGGGGAAAGGGGAAAGCATTCCGTGAAAGAGGAAGTGATGGGAAAAGGAAAGATTAAGCTCTCGTGACGCTAAGTAAGCAGAAGGGAAAAAGGGGAACAAGGGAGGGCACCACCCCTCATCGTGAGCCACTATGGAGTATGGGAGATTAGATTTTTTAAGTTTTGAAATGCATTCGACCATTTGCATTGGGGGAGGGGGAGGTCTTCCAACACGCTACACAAATCCCCCTGTTTCGCCACATCTGTCGCTATTGCACGAGAAGGGTCGCTTTCTTATCCACAATGCACGTCCCATGTCTGGCACTCCGCTGGGCTGAATTTCTAGTGGAAATTTGCGACGACTATCCATTGTGACGGTTTACCGCGATGCTCCCCTTTTTTAATTTTTTATTTTACAACTCAATGGATTCAACACATGTTCAACTTGAATTTATCACTCTCACCCCCTCATTTATTTCAATTCACTCTCATCTCACTTAATTCACTTTATCTCTCCATTTTCTAAATCTTCAAAATGTATTCCAAGAGCAACAACTGCAACTTTGAAAATTCCGAACTCGATATCATCATCCGATTTGCAAACTTGAAATCCTTACCCAGCAACAACTTTGCCATGTTCTTGGCAGGGCCGGTCCCGAAAAATGAACAAATAAAATTGGCCCGGTCCCAAATTTTACATTTTGTGCCCTATTTTATATTTTTAGAATACTTTTGCTTTAAAATTATTAATAAATTTAAAAATATGGTGCCCTAAATTTTAAAGGGCCATGTGCAGTTGACCACTTTGCACACCCTTCGGGCCACCCATGGTTCTTGGGCTCTAACGATAGCACCTACCAATTGTCGGTCGTTAATACAACTGACTATGATGTTTTTGAGTTGGAGCCCATTAGTGAGGGCCTTAGCAAAGAAAAAGTCAAAAGGACGGACGGATCGAAGAAGTATACTCTTGCGGAAAGTCTGACATTGACAAAATATTATGTCAATGTGTCAGAGGATGCCATTGCCAGAAATTACTAGAAATCTAAAATGTTCTAAGAGCGTGTTGCAGTGAAGTACAATGCTGGGAGGCTCGATAGTGCTCTCGTACGTGACGGAGAGATGTTTCGAAAACACTGGAGCCGTGAGCCCATCAGTGAGGGCCTTAGCAAAGAGAAAGCCAAAAGGATGGACGGGCCGAAGAAGTATACTCCGGCGGAAAGTCTGACATTAGCGAAGTATTATGTCAATGTGTCAGAGGATACCATTGCCGGAAATTACTTGAAATATAAAATGTTCTAGGAGCGTGTTGTGGTGAAATACAATGCTGGGAGGCTCGATAGTGCGCTCGTACGTGACGGAGAGATGTTTCGAAAACACTAGAGTCGTGTGCACCTGGAAGTCTAGAAGTTTGGTGGCTTATATGCCAATGTGCTCAAGACGTGGCCTAGTGGGTCTTCCACCAAAAACATTATGTCGAGAGCATTGGACCTTTATTATGAAGCAGAGGAGGGTTTTCAAGTTCTGTGAAATATGAAAAATTCTACAAAGGAGCCCCAAATTCTGTATCGGGCCGGAGGTCATAGAATCGGGGCAGAAGCAATCCAAATTCTTCAAAACTAGTTCGCACTTGATGAGCAGGGGCAGACAATCCCAGACATTCCATGGACCTCAACGCCACGAGAGATGACTTCCCCCATGAATCGGGTGACAAATTACCGATCAGATCCACTTGATCGGGTCAAAGGCGGCAAAGAAAGGGAAGGGGAAGATGAGGACAACAACTCGTAGTATACCACACAGCCGGAAACCAGGTTGGACATAATAAATAAAAGGAAAATTTACTTAAAAAGCACTAAAACATAATGACTTTCCCTAAGTAGCACCACATGTGTTTTTCTTCCCAATGTAGCATTTTTAGTCATTATGCATTAGTCATTATTCAAGTAAATATTCGTCATCACTAAACATTATGGACATTATTAAGTGCTATTTAGAGAACAAAACAATTTAAGTGCTATTTAGAGAAATGACTTAAGTTTAGTGCTATTTAGTGCAAATATTTCTAAATAAAAACCTTGCTAGCATGAGTTTCGTTGTTCATTGCATCAACCTTAGCAAACTCATGGCAATCGATATATCGAGGATGTCGCAGTTGGAGCTCAAGTGCCTCCACGACATGATGGTGGCAATCCACGTCATAATAAATAGGGCAGCTCTGTAGTATTCTTTTTAAGTCTTTATTTTTCATTTTAAACATGTTAAATTTCTCTTTTGTATTAGTTTATTTTTAGTTTTTTAATTGTTACAATCCATTTTTATTTTTATTTTAAATTATTCGTCTTTTTTTGCTTAAAATAAATTTTTTTTATTAAATTTATATAAGTTTTGAATTAAAAGTAATGAATAATGTGAGCGAAACAGAAATGCAAATTTTCAAGGAGATAACATTTCAAGATTAATAAAAAAAATTAGTGAAATATTGATGCGATAAGGGACAACAACATCAACAACCTAGTTGATTCCCACTACAGTAAGGTCTGGGGAGGGTGTGTGTACGCAGACCTTACCCCTACTCGGAAGTAGGGAGGCTGTTTCCAAGAGACCCCTGGCTCAACCTGCACAAAAAAAATGGTAGGGAATACTCCCTCCGTCCCAAAAAGTTTGTTGCGTTTAGAAAAAACTGCGTCCCATAAAGTCCGTTACATTTCTATTAAAAAATCACGTTTACTCCTTACTTTTTCATAACCTACTTATCATATCATACCTTTTTCCTAATAATCTACTCATCACATCCTATTTTTACCCATCACATCAAGGGTATTTTTGGAAAGTCAATACCAAAATATTTCTTCCTTTATTTCCCAAAAAGTCAAACCATCCCATTCTTTTTGGGACGGAGGGAGTACAATATAATACAAATAAAGCACCAAGTACAATAAAATAAAAGTAGTGCAAACAATAGTAAACAATTCCAACCAAACACAACACATTACAAAAACACATTGGGTGATGCGGTGAGAGAGTGGAATGGAATCCCTTGCAAATGCTCTTACCCTGTGGCTTATCAACAATCAATGCGCCTTTTACAGGTAGGTAAAGATCTACTTCGTTGCTGGATTGCCTTCCCTTTCATCAATTCTCTCTATTGTATTACTCGTAATATTCATCTCTCTATTTATATACGGACAACTATGCTAAATGTCAACCCTATTAAATTCTTCTCGTCTGTTTGGCCGGATCTGTGTAGCGGCTCTCGAGAAAATTTAATTCTGACATCATTTCTGCATTTATATCTAGGACCCCATTCCTTAACTTCTCATCCTTTCCTCACACCGTCACTTTCTACGCAGTTGGGTAATCCAGAAGGCACGCAGAAGCCATGGCCGACTCTTCTCAGCTCAAGTCCGACACTCTTATTGAGCAGATGAAGCTTCATCTCTCCTCTGACGCCGGCAAGGAACTCATCAAGAAAATTGGCCTCGTTTACGAGCTCCACATCGCCCCTAAGGTGCTTTCAGTTCTCATATCTATGTCGTTATTGTTGCTCTCCAAGTAAAATATCTGAACTGTGAATTTTCCGTTTATCATAGAAACTTGGATTTAATGAGAAGATATATGTTGTTGATCTGAAGAAAGGGGAGGTTAAAGAAGGTTAGGGTTTCCAATTTTCATACCAGATTTCTTGGATTATTGAAAATTTTGAGCTGGAAATTGGTGTCTTTGGATGAATTCAGGGAATTACGAGGATGGAAAGCCTGATGCAACATTTTCCTTTACTGATGACGATTTTCTGAAAATTGCTACGGGGAAGATGAATCCCCAAATCGCTTTTATGAGGTGCGTGGTTCTCCCAAGGCCTACTAGTTTCTTCACTAGTCTTTAAATGTTTTTGGGATTACTTATTAGGGGATAAGAATAAGTTCATTGAAAGAGTGTTTGGCAATAAGAAAATGAGAAATGCATTCAACAGCAAAGTTGGTGCTTATTTTAAGAACAAGAAGCATTTGATTGGCGCTTAACTGAGAAATCACGTTTATTTTACTTATAGGAAGTTATGCCATTATGGGTGGATATGAAATAGGAGATATTTTTTATTTCATTTTCAGGGGTGCTATCAGAATCAAAGGGAGTATCAATGCAGCCCAGAAATTCACACCAGATATTTTCCCTAAACCATCCAAGATGTGAACAAGGGAAATCATTAAGCCAGAGGCACCTATATTATGAGGCAATTTCACAGCCATTCTTTTGAATGTTACTGTCTAGCTTATATGGTAAACCGTCAAATGTTACACAATCGGGAAAAGAATTTGAGTTTCTCGCTCATGGACTTCATATTAAATCAAGATGTTTGTTCTTACCTAAATGTAAGTCCGATTTCTTGATATCCTTTATTACTTTCTACCCCATCTCTCTCATAATTTTCCTTCTTTGTTTGACTTGACACGTTTTTTTAATAAATTAAAAAAATGTGATTATGGTTTGTGTAGAAGAAAGAGAAATGATTTAAACAATGTAACTTTTTCCATTACAGAAACTATGAATTTATTTTAGATTAATCTAAATAGGAAACGAAGATGATAATTATGAGATGGAGGTAGTACTGGTTTGCAATTCACTCCTTTTTAGAGTTATTTTCCTCTTTCAATTGAGTTAGACTTAGAAGGTAGAACCCGTATGTTGAGGGTTATAAGGCTGGGTTTGTATATTACTACGTATTTCGAAAAGGAAAATATTTACCGAAACCTGTTTAGGCCAAGTTAGAGGTAGACACGATCTATGACGGTCCGTGTCAATAAACTAACTAAACCAAAAACTAAACCTTATGGTTGGGAAAATGTTCTTATATTCTAGCAGGCCCACATGTGCAAGCGTCATTGCTTTGAACTGTGAAATCGTGACTTTTTTATGCTGGAAAGCGATGGCGTTCGAACACGTGACTTCTGGGTCAATGAGACTTTGATACATGACCAAAGCTCAAACTTATGGTTCTTGCCTTCTTGGTCCAGAAAAATATTTTAAGCTGCATACTAGCACGTCTTCTAACTTGGCAAAATTTATTTTTTCTTGAATCTTGCATGGGAACATTATTTTTTAAAGCTATTTGGTGGTAAGGTTCATACTTGTGATCTTCTGGCTTTGAAAAATCTAATATTATGTCAATGAACCAAGTCAATCAAAAGCACAAAGTTATGATTGTAAGTTCAAAAAACCTTTTTATATTCTTACAATCCGGCATTTTCTTAGAAAAAGCATTTATCGTTAAAAATTTGGTACCATGTTGTTCAAAAATGAGATTGTACCATTTCATACTAGTGTCAAACCATGGGTGAATTCCCTACCAGTGTAATATACTTGCACCCCATTCCCTTATATGCATTTTGAAAATACGTTCCCCGCCCCATAAAACCCCAACTGGAGTTGGCTACTCCATTTTGGAGCTTATTATTTATCTAAACGGATTAGGCTAATCAGTTTCACTTATTTAATTACCAAATAGATTAGCCAAATCCGTTTCACTATTTTTTTTTTAAAAAATAATTTTCTTAATGCACGGAGCTCATTGTTGTTTTTTCCAATTTATTTTTTTCCTTTAAACTTTTTTAGTTATTTTAACTCCACTTTATTAAACTTTTTTAACAAATTAACTCCACTTTTATAAACTTTTTTTTAAAACCTTTCTAACTTTATTATATAAAAATATTGTATTATAAAAAATTTTAAGTTTTTAGTTTCTGAATGAAACCACTTAACTTTTGTTACTTATAAATTATTTATAACACCTAAATTAATTACAAAATAAAGGAATCGTACATAAAGAAGATGTTAAAAATATACTACAAATTTTTTTTTTAAAAAAACACTCCCTCCGTCCCCTAGTTTTTGTCCACTTTCATTTTTGTATACCATCTAATGCACTTCTTTAATCAATTTTATCTTGTAATTTGTATATTAAAAAATTATAGAAATTATATATTAATAATCTATATGTTAAGACAAATCAAACAACATCACACATGACTATATTTAGACTTACACATTAAAAGAATTTGATGAGTCAAAGTGCTTAAATTAACAGTTCCAAAAGTCAAAAGTGGACAAAAATTGAGGGACGGAGGGAGTACTATTTATTGACTTTAAGTGATATTTATATAATGAAATTAAAGAAGACGATAAAATACAATAAATTTATTGCTTGAGTACGTATAACAATTTATTCATAAATAGAAGAAGACAAAACACAAACCATGACTAACTTATTTGTCAAATTTAATAATACATAAACTCAGATATAATTGAAATTAATGACATAGCAATTCCTCGTTGCAATGTCTCCGTGCTCGATAGTCCATATTATTCGAATAGCGGACTCTCGTAGGTCAGCCGGTTCGTGTGCTTTGTTGCGGCGTTGGCCTCAGTATCTCGTACTCTAGAGTAGGTCATTCAGACTCATTTGGAAGCAGCATTAAGACGCCAGAGTAAACGTTGATGTAGGACTGAATTTAAAAAACATTTGGAATCAAATGATCCACGGTGACACTACAGTAATGACATACTGCGTGGACATGACTGCACGGGATGTGAAATGTTACTTATTGACCGCAGCTACATGTTCGTGCATTTAAGTTCACCGTAAATGTCTCCCTCTGAGCAATGTTGGACGACCCATCCACCACCACAGAGTATATCCCTTCTTGTGCGTGGTGCTGCACAATGCGACAATAAAGCCTATTTTCTTCATTTTTCCTAATATGTTTCCACACATTCATGGGAAAATTATGCCCGAATTGCTGCCATACATATCTATTTGTTCGCCTCTCAGCGAAAAGTTTGACCAACTTATCATAGGTGAACTTCACAATGACATATACGGGCAAACAACGACATCCCTTAAGGACATTATTGAAACTTTCTGAGAATTCGTAGTCATTATACCATAACGTGTGCAACCTTCATCACGTAACAACGCCACATGTGTCTTAGAATGCCATTAAGCCAGTTGTAAGCTTCTTGATTTTTGGACGCTATTCGGAGGAGCAACTGGTCAAACTCACTTCTGTTCGGGGCCTCACCAGCTTTATACATCAAGTTCCGCAGCTTCTTACTTCGAAACTTCTTCCTGAAATTGCTTCGTAGATGGCGGAGACAATATCTTCAAGTCACTTGACCTCTACCCAATTCTGGAACATTTGCGAATGTGTGCTCAATACCACCGTGTCTATACGATATTATGCATACATGACGGTGTAGGGGTACAACATGACGCATGACATTCGTCATGAACCATTTCCAACTTGCACCATCTTCTACATCCACATTGAAAAAAGCCAAGGGAAAAATTTCACCATTTTCCGTCGTTGCCATGACAAGTAATAAACATCCCTTATACTTGCCGTATAAGTGAGTTCCATCCACTTAAATAACAGGAAGACAATAGTAAAATCTATCTATGGATTCCTTGAAGGACCAGAATACATACTTGAACTGGAAATAAGTTGGTGAATCGGTTGATTGTGTTTGCAAATCAACAACATTTCCATGGTTTGACCCCATAATTGCACTGAGCAAAGGAGCCAACTTGTTGTTCGACCCTTCCCAAGCACCATACAATCATTGTGAGATGAGTATCCTGAGTAAATAAATCATTCCTAAACACATCTCCATCAAACGTAACTGGTGGTACATCGTGCATCCGCATCGGAGGATGCTCTATGTGGAATCGAAGAGGATGTGAACTGGACGGCTCACCCACGCAAGAAGGTGTGTGAGCGTCGCTCTGAATATGTTCTTCATCACTAACATCATCATCATCCTGGTTCATAGAGGGAGATTGAGTGGGGATGTGTACATCTTCATCATCGACCTACAACCTCCGATTACCCCACCCTCCATGTTTAACCCCGACAGCAGGTGCATCACGCCTTCTATCTGCCCGTCTCCTGATATGTCCTAGGTTGTAGACTTGCTGCTCGTGTGGGTGATCAAGGATAGATGCATGTCCAAGAGCACAAACACACTCTCTTAACAACTCATGAACTCTCAATACCTCGTGAGAAGGTACAAACCCATCTGGATGCCAACCAGGATCAAGGCGCTGACTGCAATCCGCCATAAAATATAACTACATACAATATTATTGATTAATTTTAAAAAATATAATTTAAAACTGGAGAAATGGGGATGTACCCTAGTCCGTGCTGATGGACGGGGTTCCCTGTCGTCGACCCCGAAGGGAGTACCACTGATGATACTCCGATGTAACATCCACCATCCCAAACTCCATCGGCACTGTAGCATCATGACGTCCCTCCCACACCTCTAAATACTGTCTCTCACCATTGCCAATTTGCATAACATTTGACTTAATGTGGTGTAGATGACGGTTGATAGAGATGTATTTATGAATGATTTTTTACTCAGAATATTGAGCTCACAACGATTGTATGGTACTTGGGAAGGGTTGTACAACAAGTTGGCTCCTTTGCTCAGTGCAATTAGGGGGTCAAACCATGGAATTGTTGTTGATTTGTAAATGCAGTAAAACGATTCACCAACTCGTTTTCAGTTCAGGTATGTATTCTGGTCCTTCAAGGCATCCATAGATGAATTTAACTATTGTCTTCCAGGTATTTCAGTGGATGGAACTCATTTATATGACAAGTATAAGAGATGTTTATTACTTTCCATCACAACGACGGGGAATGGTGAAATTTTTCCCCTGGCTTTTTCAGTTGTGGATGCTAAAGATGGTGCAAGTTGGAAATGGTTCATTACAAATATCATGTGTCATGTCGTACCCCCACAGCGCCATGTATGCATAATATCTAATAGACACGGTGGTATTGACCACGCATTCGCAAATGTTCCAAATTGGGTAGAGGTCAAGTGACTTGAAGATATTGTCTCTGCCATCTACGAAGCAATTTCAGGAAGAAGTTTCGAAGTAAGAAGCTGTGGAACTTGATGTATAAAGCTGGTGAGGCCCCGAACAGAAGTGAGTTTGACCAGTTGCTCCTCCGAATAGCGTCCAAAAATCATGAAGCTTACAACTGCTTAATGGCATTCCAAAACACATGTGGGCGTTGTCACATGATGAAGGTTGCGCACGTTATGGTATAATGACTACGAATTCTCAGAAAGTTTCAATAATGTCCTTAAGGAATGTCGTTGTTTGCCCGTATATGCCATTTGTAAAGTTCACCTATGATAAGTTGGTCAAATTAAACTTTTCGCTAAGAGGCGAATAAATGGATATGTATGGCAGCAATCCGGGCATAATTTTTTTATGAATGTGTGGAAACATATTAAGAAAAATGAAGAAAATAGGCTTTATTGTCGCATTGTGCAGCACCACGCACA